GGCTCAGCGGGGGCGCCGTGGGGCAGGAGTGACTCGGTGGGGGGCACTGTGGGGTGGGGGGCACCGTGGGGCGGGGGGGCTGGGCCATAGGGCAGGGGTGAGTCGGTGGGGGGCGCCGTGGGGCAGGGCGCTCAGCCTGTGGGTCCCCCCCAGTGTGTCCCAGCACAGCGAGGAGAACATGATGAACCCCTACAATCTGGCCGTCTGCTTCGGGCCCACGCTGGCGGCCGCCCCCCCCGGCCTGGACCCCGTCTCCACCCAGCCCCACGCCAACGAGGCCGTGAAATGCCTGATCCTGCACCCCGAGGCCGCCTTCCCGCCCCCCGACCAGCTGCCCGGCCCCCTGTACGAGCGCTGCCTGGCGCCGCCCGACGAGGACGGGTGAGTGGGGGGCAGGGGGTTTCCCGGGGGTGGGGGGACCCTGATGGGGGGCAGGACCCCGATCTCACCCCCCTCTCTGCCCCCCCTAGGGAGACGCTGTCCCTGGACCCTGCGGCTGAGGAGAGCGAGGGGGATGGGCCCCCCGAGACATCGGCTGTGGCCAGCGAGGATGGTGAGGGGGGTGCTGTGAGGTGGGGGGGGCGGGCCGGGCCAGGGAGGTCCCTTCCCGCCCCAGATCTGCCATTGGAGAGGGTCCCACCCTCTGGGGTCGGCCCCCCAACCTCCCCCCATGGGCCCCACTGTCTGCACACAACAGCCACCCGGTGCCCTGGGGGGCAGCATTGAGGGGTGCCGGCAGGAGGGGGGCCCTAGGGGGCTGGGGGGGCTCTGGAAGGGGAGGGGCTGGGGGCTCCGGTGGAAGAGGGGGGGGCCCTAGGGGGCGTGGGCAGGGGCTGGGGGGTGCTGGCGGAAGAGGGGGGCCGCGGGGGCTCCGGCAGGAGGGGGGCTCCGGCGTGGTCTGACGTGTCCCCCCCCAGACCCGCAGGGCCCCCCCGAGGCCGTGGCCCGGTTCTCCTACGAGGGGCGCTCGTCCCAGGAGCTCTCGTTCCAGACGGGTGACCGGATCCGGCTGCTGGCCAAGGCCTCCCCAGACTGGTGGCGTGGGGAGCTGGGGGGGGCCCGCGGCCTGGTGCCCCACAAGTACATCAGCCTGATCCCCAGGTGAGGGGGTGCAGGGGGCTGGGGGGAGGGGGCTGCGGGGCTGGGGGGAGGAGGGAGAACAGCCCCCCTAACGAAGTCGCCTGTCCCCCAGCACCGAGAAAAGCGGGAGGCGCCGAACCTCGGGGTCGGACGGAGACGCCGCGTCCCCCCCAGCTGAGCCAACACCAGAGTCAATCAGCAGGTGAGGGGGGGTCCTCGGTTACATGGCTCCTGCCCCGCCCCCAAGGGGACCCCAGATACCTGGCCCCCCCACCACCCGTCCTGGAGGGGTCCCCAGATAACCTGCCCCTGCCCCCAAGGGGTCCCCAGATAACCAGCCCCTGCCCCGCCCCCAAAGGGGACCCCAAATACCTGCCCCTGCCCCCAAGGGGTCCCCAGATAACCAGCCCCCTGCCCCCACCTCTGAGGGGTTCCTGAATACCCAGCCCCCCACCTCCTGAGGGAACCCCGTCTGACCCCCCCTTTCTCTAGCAGGCTGCGGGTGAACTCGGAGGGCAGCCGCGGACGCCAGCGACCTGGGACCAGCCCCATCCGCAAACTGGCTTCTCCCTTCATTGACTCGGGGCGTCTGCCCTTCCCCCTTCAGCCCCCCAGCGCCCCCCGGGCTCTCGACAGGTGAGACCCCCCCTCCCCCGGGCAAGGGGTCCCTGGGGAGCCAGCCCCACCCCAGAGGTGGCTGCCCCGAATCTCTCCCTTCTCTCTGCCAACACCCCCTTTCCTCCTCCAGGACAGAGCGGGGGGCTGTGGGGGTCGGCCCCTCCGGCAGAGAGAAACAAGGGGCCCTGGAGAAGCACGTGGAGATGGATAAGGTAAGTTTGGGGGGATGTACCCCAGCCCCCCTCGGGGCCGGCCCCCTGCCCCCACCCCTCGGGGCTGGCCCCCACCCACCCACCTGTCTCTCTCCTTCCAGGCTGTGACGCGCAACATGGACTCCGTGTTCAAGGAACTGCTCAGCAAAAGCGGGGGAAGGCGGGGGGGCCCGACAGCGTCCCCGAGCCCCCTGAGACCCTAGGGCCCCCGAACCGCCCTGGCCCCCCCAAACCTGCCTTCGGTCTGCACGACAAAGGGCTCTTCAAAGCCGCCGGGAACGGGCAGTGAGCCCCGGCTATCCTCCGGGCCAGACCCACCCCCAGCTCCTGGGGCGCAGGGGGCTCCCTTGGGGGGTCCCTGCCCCCCGCTTTGAGCTCAGCTTTGTACCTGGGGGAGGGGGAAGCTGCTGTCCGTTGGGGGTTCCCCGCACCCCAAATAATGTTTGCTTGAATTCTCTGTCTCTGTTCTCTCCCCGGCTCGGGGTAGCGCGGGGGGGCTGGGCTGGGAGCCCGGACTCCTGGGTTCTATCTCCCCAATTTTCAAGCTATCCCCCCCCCCCCCATTTCTAGGCAGCCCCCCAGGGTGTGTGAGTGCCTCGTTTTTTAACCCCATCACCCCCTGATCTGCGTTTGAGGCCCCCCCCCGGGAGATCACGTGATCCTAGCCCCACCTCTGACCCCGTGGGGCTCCCCCCATCTACCCCCCCTTTGAGCCCCTCCCTCTCTGGCAAGGAACCTGATTTTCACACGCAATAAAGGGGCCAGTCCCAAGGGCCTGTCTCCGGTGCCTCGTGTTTGGGGGGCGTCTGGGGGGCAGGGGCGATGCCCCCACTCTCTGCCCACAAAGCGGGGGGGGCGCTGCTGCAAATAACGGCCCCTCCCCCTGCCCCATCTCGCCAGTTGTGGGCTGGGGGGGCGGAAGCGGAGTCCTGCCCCCCCCACCCCCCCAGGCGGGCAGGGGGTAAAGGGGGCCCAGAGGAGGGCGCTTGCTGCTGGCGAGGGGCGGGGAAGCCTCCAGGGGCTCCCCGGAGCTGGGGGGACGTGGGGGGACGGGGGGGGCCCAGCAGGGGGGGGGGGGGGGTGGGTGGGCGCGAGGGCCCCCCCGCGAACGGGCCATGGACCCGCCGGGGGGGCGCTAGGGGGGACCGGGCGCTACGCCGGGCTCAGGCCCCGCCCGCCCGCTGCCGTCCCGAGCGGCGCATGCGCAGTGGGGCGCGGCGCGGGGCTCCCCATTGGCCGGCGCTGGGTGGGCGGGGCCGGGAGGCGGCCAATGGCGCGGCGAGGCGGGGGTATAAAGCCGGGGGCGGCCCCCGCGCGGGGAGCGGCGGTGGCTGCTGCCTCCGGAGCAGGGAAGGAGGGGGCGGGGCTGCCGCGGGACGGGACCCAGGCGTCCGGGA